GACACTAGTGTGCATCTATGGAGGCGTCAGTATCGAGTCTCAAAGACGATCACTGGAGCGGCCAATCGACGTTGTTGTCGGTACCCCTGGCCGTGTCATCGATATGCTACAGCGCGGTTCTTTGCTGCTGAACCGGGTGAAGTTCATGGTTCTGGATGAAGCTGATCAGATGCTTGCAACTGGTTTTGCGGAAGATGTGGAGAAGATCATGGAGAGGCTCCCCAAGCAAAGGCAGACTATGATGTTTTCCGCCACAATGCCGTCCTGGGTGAAGAACTTGTTGCGACGGTTCATGCAAGATCCTCTTGTGGTCGATCTGGTGAGCAATTTGTTTCCAAAACGCAGGTTTTACATTTTATGTTTCCTCTGCAGGTGGGAGACAACGACGAGAAGCTTGCAGAGGGTATCAAGCTTTACTCTTGCGAGGCATCCGACTATAACAAGGGTCCTCTTCTCAAGGAGCTTGTGAATGTACGTAAGAGAAATCCAGACATAGCGCTGATGGTCGTTGCTTTTTCCTCTTCTTTTTGCAGTCGTATGGCAAAGGTGGGAAAGTGATCGTGTTTGCCAAAACCAAGCGCGACACGCACAATGTAGCTCAAGCCATGAGCCGCTCGGTCCCTTGCGAGGCTCTACACGGTGACATCCCACAGTTCCAACGTGAGAGAACGCTTTCCGGCTTCCGAGACGGCAGATTTTCAGTGTTGGTAGCAACGGACGTAGCTGCTCGCGGTCTAGACATTCCCAACGTCGATCTGGTACGTATATCTTTCTGGAAACTCATCGATCTCTCAGGGAAGCGTGTAGCTAACTAAAGTTTGGATCGACAGGTGATTCACTACGAAGTTCCTGGCGACTCAGAGACGTTCGTTCACAGGTCGGGACGAACAGGCCGAGCCGGGAAGAAAGGAGTGGCGATTTTGATGCACACTTACGCGCAGGGGCGCGTGAGGGACACGATCGAGCACGACGTTGGGTGTAGATTCGAGGCGCTCAACGTTCCAAACGTGGACATGAGCTGCGCACAAGACTTTTCGAGGGACACTTACGTGGCGAGCAGCGGTTTTGGCGGAAGAAGCTTTGGAGGTGGACGAGGGGGCGGCGGCTACGGTGGCGGCGGATTTGGGAGAGGTGGCGGAGGTGGATTTGGTGGCGGTGGCTTCGGGGGCAGGAGTGGTGGGTTTGGGGGAGGGTGGTAGTTGTAGGTTCTTTCTCGGCAGACGAAACGTAGTAGCCGCCTACTTGCAGTGGTAGTTTCTTACTAGTGACGAACATTTGCCTCTTTTTTTTACGAACCAAAGAATATACGGATAGTTACACAATTTCATGCTGCCATCCTAACCAATTAAAAACACTTGCGGACTATTACCTGAAACTTTAGAGCAACTCGGTCATACTACGTTTTTGAGCACGAAAGAAATTAATTGGTCAAGGTAATTCCAGTGCTCTCTTCGTTTTGAAGTCTCACGAGAATTTGAGTTACAAATAAGCTTTTCCGAAGCTTGAAGTAATAGCGAGTGTAAGTTAGATGGGAGTGAATCGATGATCACAGTGGCCCGCAGCAGTTTTTCATCCAAAATTCCAAGAAGAAAGCACGATTATGAAAGTTATGGGTTGTAACAGGCTTGAGAAACTGAGCTTGTCACGGCTGAACGCTTTTGATCCCATGGAGCTTTTTAATGGGTTTCCAAACCTCTCAAGCATGAATCTGCAGGATATGACATTCAAAACTGTTCCTTTCATTTCCATGTCTCACTAGAATAAGCCTGATTAGTGTTCGGGTGAAACTCTGGTTATCAATGGTCGACAGCACCTGAAAGAGTTATTTTTTCATCCAAATCATGAACAAGGCTCTGTTATGGAAGTTAAAAGTTGTACACACGAATTCTTGCTTTTCACTGATACAGGATTCCAGCCTATGGTTTGTAACAGCTTGGCTAATGATGAACTCTCGAGTTTTCTATCCAAGTGTTGGTTGCTCAAGACGCTTGCCCTCGCTGAGGGACATTGAAATCGCCAGCGGAAATCAGGTCTTCCTCGCTCAGAAGTTTAACTACAAGTCACCACATGTATTGCAGCTCGAGTGCAATGGCTTGCAAGAGCTGGAAATTCAGGGATTGTTTGGATAGCTTCATGAGTCTGGGGCCTTCCTTGAGAACACAAAGCCAGAAGACTCTTGTCCTCAGCTTTCGAACTTGCTACACTTGGAATACCTGAAGTTTATGACCACACTGATCGTGAAAGTCATGCAAATATATTTCAACTTATGCGAAACTAGCGCTTGAGGTTGGGACAGAGACAAAGTGGACGTCGTCTTCTTTCACAGTTTTTGGTGTCATCTTTCACTGACAATCCACGCTTGGAGTGCTTAGGCTTAGAAGGCAATCTACAGCCATAGTTGCAAAGTTGTGGGGAAGGAAGAGTACTTATTCTCACCGTGTTTTTGAGCTGCAAAACTTAACTGACTTCGTTATTCCAAGAATTCTATACCTGAGAAGATCCCAGAGATCTCGCAAAGAGTTCTGGAATGAATTCCAAAGAGAGTGGAGAGAGAGGATCATCATCTAAGCTGCCGGAGGAGGCACGTCAATGGGCGTGTCCTGGTAGCGAAGTGCGCATTGCCCCGTGAGCATGAGCACGACGGAGATGGAGGAGGAGCACTCGATCCACGCCCTCTTCACCAGCATCGCGATGCACTCCCGGCAAACCTCGTGAGGCGGCTGGTTGAAGCACACGCCCTGGCCGTAAGAGGTAACGTCGTCCCGGCCGTGCTTCACCGTGTAAGTCAAGTTGGTGGCGTTGGGAGTGTTGGCCACGATGTCCGACAGCGTCAAGTTGAGGCTCTGCCAGTACGTGCTCCCCGGCGGGATGGAGGCGTCGCTGCAGTAGCCCGAGAAATCCACCTCCGCCTTGCCGATGATCTTGCACTGGACCGACTGGATCGACACGGCGACAAGCAGCACCGCTAGAGCGAGCTGGAACTTGATCGTCATCTCCATCGCTCGCTCGCTCACTGCAAAGAAAACCGAAACAAAGAGAAAAGAAGAACTTGGAGTGAGCGAACAAGCGTACCTCTTTTATAGCGTGCACGAGAAACTCTCGTCACCGGATTAGCGTGCGCGTTTCTTTCTTTGTCCGTTTTCTCATCTGTAAGGCACCTGTCGAAGATTTAGAAGAACTACCGCGTTTTGGCATTATCTTCTTGCTTCTTCAAACCCAGAGATGCAGAAGGAACACATGTTAGATTCTTTGGAGGTAAGCCTCTCGTATGCTCTTCTTCTTCGCCGCCATATTCACAGTTCGGCTTGCAACTCGTCAGCCTTCTCGTACAGCCTTTTTCTACAACCTCCTCCTCTAACACCGCCTTCAAAACATCCAAAAACTCCTTGGGATCGAGACGTCGCATGATCTCTAGATTTTGTGCTTGGTCTCCACGCTGCGTTCTCGAAAACCCGGATCACGAGTTCGTGAGTCCAATCTGTATTTGCACGGGCCTCCGGACCTACCATGTCTCTGTTCCACGATCAACACCTCTCCCTTGGAGCTTTCGACAAAGATGGGGTCGCCTTCTTGTTCGAAAGCTCCCGAGAAGAACGCTAGGATGGATATCTCCGAAGCGTTCTAATGCATTTCACGTCAAAGCAGAAAAATGTTTAAATGCTAGAAATAGGCTGGTCTAAACAGCTATTAGAAACAAAACTTCTATAGATTACAAAATCTGAAGTGTTAGCGTTCCATTCATAGTCCTCCAAACTACAGCATCAAGTTGCTAACACTTCAGGGCTGAAAAAGACATGCATGTCAGAGATCCATACGATGGAAAAGAATCGTTCAACGGAGTCCACTCCACACTTAAAGGCATTGATGGCTTTGACAACATAAAATCTTCATGGTACATATCGCCATTGCAAGAATAATAATACATGTTTTTGGGGTCATACCTAGAGGCATAAGAACACTTAAAGGCTCCTGCAAGTTGAGCTTGGTGCCGGCACTAAAGAATAATACTATGCAAGTTTGTAAATACAAGATTTTAGCCTTCCAGTGCAGGTTATGTGGGAAAACTAGTTTTCTGGACTTCTTTCAGCTTTGGAGCTTAGTCACCCTGGAGGTACTTCAATGTCATGAGAGGAGAATGAAACTAACTATCTCTTGCCCGGGTTCACAACTAGTCCAGACGAGAGGTGGATGTCGAAAACTATGCTGGAGTGGTCGGAAGAAGGAATAGAAGAACTGCTCTCGAGAGGAAGCTCAAGGAGCTCTCCATTCGGCCTCTGTACGCTTAAATTTGCTTGTGCGGACGCCAAGAGCCGTCAGATAGTTCAACTTTGTGTTTTTGGTTACTAGTTTTCAGAGCGATTGACTTCTTTTCTTTGTCAGGTTCTGGAAGAGATGGTTGGTCGTTTCACAGAAAAATTCTTAAGTTTATTTGTTTCTAACAGTGTCTTTCTCTCTACTAAGAGCTGAGAATGTTTTGCATATGCTTTGATTGGAGACAGATTTCGCCAAGAGTAATGAAGACCTTCGAAAAGGTTGTGGAGGGATACAGCTGCATCTTCCAGCAAGAAACTTCAACTGCAAAACAAAGCATACACTAGTTAGCTGGTGAGTTTACTCAAAGCTAAAGAAAAAGCTATTACCTTTTCCGCTTGTTCCGGATTTCCAGAATAAAGCTCGCGTCCAAAGGTGCATTACCAGCTGCGTGAGAATCGCAACATGAATATCGCGTTGCATTAGCTTGAAAATGTGCGCGATTATCTTGTTATTGCACTCGACGTGGTGGCCATCTGAGTAAATAATCCATGTTTTTCATTCCTGTCGTGCCCAACCAAGAATTCAACTAGGATTTTGAACCCCGGAATTTTCACGAAATCTTATCAGCGCAGGCGCCAAAGGCAGCGGCAATGCAGGGGCGGCGAGCAGTTAGCGAAGCATATTTTCCCCGGAACACAGAATAATTTGACCCACTTGACTAGCCTTGACCATCTGCCACGTGTACTATGCCTTGGCGCCATAGATTTGAATACTCGCCCCCGTCGACGACCAAGGAGGAGCCCATTCTCGCTGACAATCCACAGCGCTTCTGTATGTTCCCGATTCGCTACCCCAGGATGTGGGAGATGTACATAAAGGCCAAGGCGAGCTTCTCGACTGGTGAGATCCGGTTTCCTTCTCGTTTTAGCCGCAATCGTTTGGGGCATTCCAGCTGATCTCTCCCAGGATGCCAAGCACTGGGAGTCTCTCACCGAACGAAAATCATTTCATGAGCCATGTTTTGGCCTTCTTCGCCGCCTCGTCTTGGAGAATCTGAGATCGAGATCCCGGAGGTAAGGCATTTTTTGGTCTTGGCTCTTTGTCATATAGCATTTGCCAGGCTCGGGCATTTTATGGCTTCCAAACATCCTTGCTTTTTCTTTCACAGTGATCTTGAAGCTTACATCTACATTGACGGCTTTTGCTTTTGATTTGAGGCCAATCTCGGCTTGGCTTGGCTTTTGCTCTTGATTCTACCATTTGCTCCGCCCTCCTCTTCTGTTTAGTAGAACAGCCAACCTGTTGGAGATGCGCTCTGGTGAACAATTGTTGTGAGATCAATTTGGCTTTGCTCTTCTGAATCAGGAGAATCGTTTGACTCGGCCTGGACTTTCGGTGGGCTAGCTGGATCTTGTGATGGGAGTGTCAGGTTGAGGAATAGTCGGCAGAAAGTAGAGATTATCTTGAAACTCGTCCGGGTCACTGAAAACAGCCACTTTCTCCGTTGTACCATCATCACTTTGCACTTGGTTTTTCTTCAAGCACTTGGCTTTCACGACCAATGTTTCAGTAAACAAAATGGAATCGATAATTGAATATGCCTTGGCAACATCCATTTTGGGTATAAACATTTGGTTTTTATTTCTTCATTTTCTTTTCTTTTTCCTTTTTTTCTTCTGGTCATCTTGCTGTTTAATTTGATTGGATTATAATGTTTGAAGTTTTATAAAGCTCAAATTTAATAATTTCTAAACACTAAAATGAATTCATGTAAGTATGATTGATTGGCATTTCCTTTTCTCCACAAAAAGTATCAAGAATTGTAAAAATGTTTTAACAAAAATTAAAATTATTTTTTTCATTAAAATGATGATAACTAAAAGAAACATATCAAGAGAAAAAAATTATGTTGAAGGTTAACAATTAAGTATAATTTATTTTATTTTGGCCTTTAACACTTCAGATATTTTTTTATGTACAAGCTTATTGATTGTTATAGGATCTATGCCCTACTACAAATTTCTCATGACATCGTTGATAGTTATTTTTGCGATGTCCTTGATTAATATGTTTATATAAAAATTGACAAGTATACAAATTTCTCTTAACTTTGTTAAAAAATTTATATTCAATAAAAACTATTTTCTTTAGAATTTATATATTTATTTATAATTTGTTTTCATTAATATAAATCTCTTGTACTTGCTATGTGAAATATTACATACATAGTTTGTGTTTTAAAATAATATTTAAATTAATTTTTTAATAAGAAAAATAAAAATAAAAGTATAAATTTAGAGGAGAAAATAATCCAAGCTTGAGTATCCCTCTTGGTAAATCCATTTGCAAGCTAAACTTCATATGAGATAAATTTATTTTATTTTTATACATTCATACTTTTAGTAACTTAATTAATATAACTAAAATACTATAAATAAATACAGTAAACAAAGTTTTATAACAAAATATATAGATTATATGTGGTTAATTATTTTTCTAAATAATATTTTATAAAATAAATATAATTAATTTTTTTCATAATTATAAATATAAGTAGCAGTTTAACCAACAATTTCATCAAGGTTGGAATAAAAAATTATATGTCTACATATTTATAGTTTATAGATTTAGAAAAGCATCCATATAACTACTTTTGAGTTAAAAACTAAATAAATATATAAATTAGATTAATTTTGTAATAAAATAATATATTTTATTTTCATCACTTTTTGAAATTCAAATACTCATGTGCCCTTCCTTCCAAGCAAGGGTCATCGATTTCTTGACACAGTCTGATGAATAATTTCATTCCCTTTCCATCATACACCGGCATGCCGTGTCCGTTCTCAACGTTACGAATCACTCCCGCTCGGGCACAGCCTGCAGCCTGGAAGAGAGCGTCCCACATGCACTTGTCGTCGCCTTTGCACGCTGCTGCAGCAGCCAGCATCTTTGGATCGGTCGGCGCGAACGCCTCGCAATGTTCCGTGTTGTTCGTATACAGCAGGAGATCTTCTCTGTAGCAACTGCTTTCGTCCTGTGCCGGTCCTTCATCTCCAGAGTTTCTCGCCGGGCTCTCACTCGGGCTCTCACTGTCACTTGACGAGGAAGGAGCTCTCTCGCCCCCGTGAGCTTCATCAGTGTATGGCGCCATTGAGAACCCGCTTCGGGCATGGATGCTGCCTCCACTGGCTTGGATTCCCTAGTCCATGAAGGATTGTGCTTCTCAAACTCGTCCCATTCGGCATTGGTAGGCCTCGCAAACATTCCAGGAGCTTTCAAGGCCGCGACATGCACGGGTCTCATGTCGTCTTGCACAGACAACTGCGAGAACAATCTGGATGAAGTGAACAACACAAGTATTGGATGTACTGCTTTGATTTTCTGCAAAGACGTAGCTCTCTGCATAGAGAGCGATGAACTCATCCAGCGTCTGAGGCGACATTTTCCGGCCTGCAAACTTGTCATCCTCGACCTCTTCAAACCGTCCGTGGATGATTTTACAAAAGGCTCCCGACACGTATAGATCACCTCGCTAAACTCGCACGGGGAGAACGCAAATGGATTCGTCTGTCCGATTATCTTCCTCTTCTAAAAACACAAATCCCGTTGGTGGCCTACTCGCCGCAAGCGCTTAGCTTACCATTCTTCCTTACAGCAATGATGGTATGTTCTTAAGTATTCCCTCCTCTTTAGCAACACAATGCTTTTGAGAGCTCCAAGAGTTTCGGAGCACAGACTTTTGCTGCTTGCATTTCCGCTAGTAAGCGTACCACCCTCGCCGTTTTCTGCGTATCCAAGCATCAATGCGTTCCCCTTTGTCCGTTTTCTCATCTGTAAGGCACCTGTCGAAGATTTAGAAGAGCTACCACTTTGGCATGATCTTCTTCAATCACGAGATCACGAGAACACGAGAGAATGAGAACTTCGGATTCTTTCAAACGAGTACCTGAATTAGAATGTTAGCTCTCTCGGAGTAGAATACAAGCGATGCTGCTCTTCTCAGGGCGGGTCGCCGGTGTTTTCTCTTAAGCTGGAAACCTGTTTCACCCTTTGCGGCCTCTTGTTAAGCTTCTTCAAGCCCAGAGATGGGGAAGGCTCCTGGATAGAACACATGTTAGATGCTTTCGAAGTAGAGCATTCTTTACCTCTTGTATGTCCTCTTGTGCCTCATCCTCTTCGCCGCCATTCACACTTCTCGTCGACTTGGTCTTGACACCCTTCGTTTTTGACTTGCGGCCGATCTCGGCTTGCAACTCGGCAGCCTTCTCGGACAGCTTCCTTTTCCTCTTGATTCTACCATTTGCTCCGACCTCCTCTTCTGTTTAGACAGACCTCGTGAGCATTAGAAATACATTAGCGCAGCTGAAAGAACAGCCAACCTGGTGGAGATGCGCTCTGTTGAACAATCGTCGTCAGCTCAATCTGGTTTTGCTCCTCCGACTCTGGAGAATCGTTCGACTCGGAAGGATGGCTCGCCTGGACTTTGGGTGGGCTGGCTGGAGCTTGCGATGGTTCTTCTGGAACAGGACTGTCGGGTTGAGGAACAGTCGGTAGAAAGTAGAGATTATCTTGAGACTCGTCCGAGTCACTGAAAACAGCCACTTTCTCCGTTGTTGTAATATCAATATCAGCATCATTGTCAGCTTGCACTGGTTTAGCCTGCAGCAAGAAAAAGAATACAATGTAAGTCACACCAAGATTCACATAGAAAAACCTAAGGAGTGCTTACCTTCTCAGCCTCAGCATTCAAATCGAACTCATCCTCCCTTTCGACGTACTCCTCGTTCTCTTCCAGCTCTCGAAAATCTGGAGCAAACGCGCTCCAGTTCTCCGTGTAGTCTTTCGCCCAGATATATATCAAGCCTGACATGGAGACCGAAGCCAGAATAGATCGAGTCGGGTGCCAAGCTATGTCGATGAGGCCTTCCTTGGGACACTCGAGCATCCTTGCCAGCTGACCGAACTCCCGGTTCCACACCTGTATCTTGTGCTCTCCTTTCGCACCGGAAGCAGCAACAACAAACTCGGCATCGTTGCTGAAGCAGGCAGTCTTCCACACCGCCTTCAAAACACCGTCCGAGAACTCCTTGGGACTGCTCAAGACGTCGCACTTTTCGGGATCTTCCGCTAGCGCTGCCGCAGCATTTTCTCTCGGCAGCAAGTTCTCGAAAACCCGGATCACACGGTCCGACGAGTTCGTGAGCACGTAGTGTCCATTTCGGCTAAAAACAATCTGTCGGACAGTCGCACCACCCGGGACTTGCACAGTCCTCCGGACCTGCCGTGTCTCTGTATCCACGATCAACACCTCCCCCTTGGAGTTCCCAACGAAGATGAGATCGCCCTTCTTGTTAAAGCTCGCTCCGGAGAAAGAGTACGAGCTCGCCTCTGCCTTTCCCTTTGCAGCTTGGCCAGTGGCGGCTTCCGGAGTTTTGGGTGACGCCGAGAGTGGAAGCTGGTAGCTCTCACCAGTCGAGAGATCGATGAGAAGTGGAGCGCTGGAGAGCGGGCATGCAAGGCAGAGGAGCGGCCTCTTCCTCCCCGGATGGAAGCGAGCGTGGAGAGCTGTTTGATGGAGGGTGGTGGAAGCGATCTTGACGCCTTTGGCAACGTCCCAGCAGGAGAGTGATTTGTCCATGGCTGCCGCTACGAGGTGGTGGCCGCATTTGGACCAGCTGACGCTCGTCACTGGAGAGGAGCAGCTCTTGTCACGAAGCTCGGCGGCCACGCCTCGCGTGTGGAAGTCCCAGATCACGCAGGAGCCATCGGCACAGCCAGCTGCAAAGAACAACATAAAGAGTTGGAACGAAAGCTTGAGAATTTTTTATCTATCCTATCGCGTGTCTGTAAGAAGCAAAAGATTTCTCTAAGAACCAAGAGATCTTGCCTGCCAGTAGCGTTCCACGCCGATTGAAGGCAATGCTCTTGGTGATCCCGTGCTCCAGGAACTCTTCGATCACTTCTGGGAAATCGTTCTGGAAGGGGTCTGCAAGGAATCGCCGATCACAGGAGAAATCCAGAAGAGAAGAACTCACCGAGTAGCGAAAGATTCATCGCTATCCACTGGCGCGCCTAGACAATCGAGCGATGCATCTACGCTCGCTTCCCACAAACCCTACCAAAACCCTAAAATTTTCTAAATGGCTGTTCTTCGCGGGAGCGTGGAGCTAGTGATCCCCATCTGCGAGAGGCCGGCCTCCAAATCCACGCCGCTCGCCAAGCTCTTGCGCTGGCGCTCGCAATCCCGGCACAAGGCGTCGTCGATCAGTACCGCATTGTCGGAGCTCGATGGCGGGCCGGATTCCAGCGAGCTCCTCACGGAGCTGGAGTGGCTGCTGGATGACGCTGTGGAGAGTTGCGTGATCCACAGGCCGGAGAAGAGGAAGATCCAGGGATGGAGGCGCCTCAAATCCGCGCTGGAGCTGGAAGAATGCGGCCGCGGCGACCGCGATGATCTTGATCAAGAGCGCAACGATACCCTAGCCGGCCATGGCGAAATATTTCTTCGCGCGAGCTTGGAGGAGCTAGAACAGGGATGGAAGGAGAGGATCGATCGCCGGCGGCCATTCCAGTACGTGACAGGGAGCTCGCATTGGCGGGATCTGGTGCTTGGCGTCCAGGAGGGAGTGCTGATCCCAAGGCCAGAGACCAAGCAGCTGATCGACCTCGCGGCGGCCGCCATGGATGGAAATTCCGAGCTCGCGCGAGGGGTTTGGGTTGATCTTGGGACTGGCAGCGGCGCAATCGCGATTGGAATCGCTCGGCTTCTCGATGGGAGGGGATCGGTGATCGCTGTGGATGCCAGTGAGGTCGCGATCGCGGTGGCCGAGGCCAATGCTCGACGCTACAAGCTTCAGGTAAGAGATTCTTCCAGTCCAGAGAACGTTCTCTTTCTTCTTTAATCTTTTTATTTGTGTTCTTCGTGCTTGAGTCTAGAGCTTGTTCTTAACGTTTTTTCTTTGTTCTCACGGATTTCTTTCGTGCCTGGCAGGAAGCTGTGACTCTTGTCAAGGGCTCCTGGTTGACGCCTTTGCGCGACGAAGCTGGAAAGCTCTCCGGGATCGTGAGCAACCCGCCATACATTCCGTCCAGGAACCTCGGGAGATTGCAAGCCGAGGTTGGAAAGCACGAGCCAATATGCGCTCTGGATGGTGGCGTCGATGGAATCGACCACCTTGCGGAAATCTGCCAAGGAGCTTGCTGGGCTCTCAAGTCCGGTGGTTTTCTAGCGCTCGAGGTCTCTTCCTTGTGTTTTTCCCTCCTTTTTCCTGCTGAATCTCCGTTTGATCTTGCAGACCGATGGTGGCGAGCAAGCGCAAACCGTCGCAAAGATCCTGTCCGACAAGCCTTTCGAAGACATCAAAGTTGTGAAAGATTTCGCTGAGATGTCTCGGTTTGTCACTGCGTTTCATACGTAACTCTAGCTTTTGATCCCTCTGGTGGTTTTTTTCTTCAAGCTAGTCAACCAGTGGACTAAACACACCGTTGACGAGGCTTTGACTCAATCCTGGCCATTGTATAGTCAACCAAGGCATGTCCGTGCCACGTCTAGACACACGCGGCGCCTCGATGACGGCAGCGTGTTCTTAGCCTTGTCTCTACTGACGCGATTCCAATCTATATGGATCTCCTTTTCAAGATAGACGAGGTAACCTTCAACCTTGCATTGTGCTGGTTTCTCACAACTCTTGTTCGTTTCGAATCTTTTGGCGAGTTTGGAATGGGTTCGTCCGACGGCCCAATGCTTGCGGATGAAAAAGGCAGCGGAACGATTCAAAGGCAGTTCTCTCATGGGGCTTTGCGTTCCGAAAGGAGCATCCAGACGGGAGCGCTTTCAAGGCTCAACTCGTCTGGCTTGAAGGGTGACCTCCAAAAGCCTCTACTGCGAGCCAAATCGAGGGCTTTCATCAAGCCACCCAGCTCGGTTATCCCAACACTGTTCACGCTCGTCGTTGTTCTTGGAACTTTGTCCCTTGGAATTGCTGTAAGTTTCTTTCCTTGTTCTCAGCTTTTCACATCTTACTGACGATTTATGTAGCTCGGGTATACTTCACCGACGCAAGCTGATATAATTCACGATCTCCATTTAAGCTTATCTCAGGTGCAGAACATCTATCACTCATTTGACAGATTATGGTGACCTCCATTTTTTTTCTCAGTATTCTTTCTTTGGTTCTCTCGTGAACTTGGGATGCATGGTCGGTGCTGTTTCAAGTGGAAGGATAGCAGATAGTCTCGGCCGTAAAGGAGTATGTTTTCTATTCAAGTTCGTGCGTTGCTTAGCTGATTCCTTATCACGGCTTGCAGGCGTTAGTAGCAGCAGCTATTCCCAATCTTGTAGGATGGATTATGGTCGCCATGGCAAAAGTAATCAATAACGAACGAAAGAAGAAAAGCTGAATTTCCTTATTTCCAGGATTTGCAATTTCTTTACATTGGGAGGTTTTTGAAAGGACTTGGTGGCGGGATTGTCTCCTTTACTGTAAGTCTCATTTTGTTCCAGCTACATACCGAGTAAAAGTTCTTGTGCAGGTTCCAACTTATATTGCAGAAGTTTCTCCCAAACATATGCGAGGAACTTTGGGTGCCATGCATCAGGTTCGGTGTTTTTGTTTTGTCTCCTGTTTTCTTAAGTTCGGTCCTTGCAGCTGGCAGTAACTGTTGGTATCATGATGGCATATATGGGGGGATTGTTTTTTCAGTGGAGAATGCTTGCTCTAATTGGTAACATTTCTCACGTTTTTAAAAGCCACCTAACTTTTTGCGAGTGTGTCACAGCTACTATTCCCGGAGCGCTACTTTTGATCGGGCTTTGTTTTATCACTGAAACACCTCGCTGGCTGGTATGGGGAAAGATTTCAAATTTCTCCTCAAAATATTGCTTTCCAGGGAAATGCCGATCGTAACAAAGATCTCGCTACAGCTCTTCAGAGACTACGAGGAAAAGATTATAACATAAGCTCGGAGCTTTCTGAGATTCAGGTAATGGTAACGGTGAGTTTCTGCTCTGTAGTTACAATAACATCAAGTGCGTCAGAACGCTGCGGAGGTATCCAGATTGCAGCCCAGCGTGCTAGTTACAGAGCTATTTCAATGGCGACTCTTCCGGCCCCTACTTGTAAGCTATTTCTTCCTTTTTCCGTTTTGTCTCAACATGAATATGGTATTCGTATAGGCAGGAATAGGCGTAATGGCCTTGCAGCAATTTAGTGGAATCAACGGAATCATGCTTTACGCTGGTGAAATTTTCAGCACAGTCGGTAAGCTCATACAAGTTTCTGTGCTCAAAACTCAAATTTTTTTTGCTTGCAGGATTTAAGTCACCAAACGCAGCTTCCTTGCTTCTAGCCATGCTACAAGTAATTCTTTTGTATTGTTCTTATTGCACGTATTAATGTGTTTTTATAACAGGTAGCCGTGACGCTCACCTCAGCAGGATTGATGGAAAAGGCTGGAAGACGTTTGTTATTGTTGGTATGAGCTCAAAATGATTTCTCCCTACTAACAGCGTCTAAATCATGTATAGTTATCATCGGGAGGCATGGCTCTCAGCGCTTTTCTCGTGGGATTCTCATTCTTTCTACGCGTAAGCTTAAAAAGATCCAATGGCTTGCGAATGTTCGTGTAACATTTTCTTTGCTTCTTTTTCCGACAGAACATAAAGAATCCATCTCCTGAAATGGACACATTCATCAACGTTCTAGCACTTTGTAGCCTTCTGGTAAGAAAAGAACGAGCTTTTTGAGAAAGAAAGCGTTCTAACTTGCTTCCAGTTTTATGTGGTATCATTTTCATTCGGTCTCGGTGCCATTCCCTGGGTTATAATGTCGGAGGTAAGAAGTTTCCAAGCTCTCTTTTGCTGTAAGTCTAAATGCTGGCTTTGCAGATCTTTCCTTCTCGTGTCAAAGGCCTGGCCGGAAGCCTTGCTACGCTAGTGAATTGGTCTTGCGCCTGGGCCGTGACACTAACCTTCAACTTCCTGCTCAACTGGACATCTTATGGTACGCGTTGTTTCATAGCGCTGTCTCCAGAGCTCATGTAAAACTTTCTCACGCAGGTTGCTTTTGGCTATACGCATCGATTTGCCTCGCCACAGTTATCTTCGTCGCTCTCTTTGTTCCGGAGACTCGAGGTCGCACTCTAGAGCAGATTGAGGCTTCGTTTAAATAGACGATTCAAATCGGACACCCAGTGGATCATCGTAGAAAACAAGGTACCTATTCATTTTCCAACTTGTAAACATCGAACGTGATTTTACCTGCGAAGTAAGTTTCACTGCTCGGTCTGAATGATAAGTCCAATGGGGCAGTGGTCGCTGCCATCAAGCTGAGGAAGAACATACGAATCCGCGACATTGGAAACCAGTCCTTGAGAAACAAGGAAGTAGTCCAACCTCCATCCTATCATAAAAAAACAATTGTTTTGTAAGTTTGTAAAGTAAAAGCCATACCTTTGTTCTGTGGTCTAGCATTGCTGCGATAGCTCCAGTACGTAAAACCAACAGCCAGTGGATGCTGCTTTCGAAACGTATCCACGAGTCCTTTGTCTATGAAATTCGTTTGGAAGGAGGTCCGCTCTTCGCACGTGAATCCAGCGCTCCTTTTGTTTCCCTACGATCCAAAAGCCAGCGTTGCATTGATAGGACTTAAAGCAAGCGATTTACGTCTGGATCGTAGATGTCAATCTCTTCGTGCGCGCAGTTTAAGTCACCCGTGACAATCACGGGCTTTCTCTTCTCGAGCTCCTGAGAAAAGATTACTGTATGAGATTATTAGAGGCTAGAAAGCTTTACCAGCAAATATGTGCTGAATGCAGGATCCCACTCCGTTGTTCTGTAAGTCTGATGCAAAGAAAATATGGAAAGTCGAAAAGAAAAATGAAAGAAAACGTACCAGCCTCTCTAAACGTTGTCCGGAGTTTGGAACGTAGACAGAAACTAGGAAGAATGTATCAAACTCGGCTGTGACGACGCGGCCCTCGCCATCATGCTGAGAAATTCCCAATCCATACGTCACAGACACAGGCTTGATCTGCGATGATGGATCACAAACTCAGTGGAAGGAAGAAAAAGTAAATACCCGTGATATGAGAGCGCAACCAGAGTAGCCAAGCTTTGAACTGCTGCAAGTCCAGAAACTATTAGAATAGCCACCCAAGATCTTCTGTTTGATCGCCTCCACATCTTTTTCCTGCAAAGAGCTTTACTTAAGAAATGCCCAGCCACCTTGAAACCAAAAAGCCAGACCTGGAGCTTTGTTTCCTGGAGACAAAGGACGTCGAAATCTTCCGAGTTTGCGAGACGAGCCAGTACCGAGCCTTCTTCTTCCAGCTCGTTTTTGCGCTTCATGCATGCCCGCAAGCCATTGACGTTCCAGGAGATAACTTTCACCAAGTTCTTCTCGCTTGGCGGGGACGAAGGCCTCATTGTGGACGGATCATAAGCAATCCAGTCGGGCTTGGGCTTTTTGTGCCGGAGTAGAGTCCACGGGCTGGCAGATTTCTCGCTGCTTACTTCGAGAGCGGTAGTCGTCGTTGTCTTTCGTCTGGAAACTTTCTTGGAGGATTTCTCGACTGTAGTCTCCGTTGTTTGGACCCGTTTGAGAGCTCTCACTTCAGAAGTTTCTCCTGCTAGAGTTGAGAACTAGTTGTCAGGAAATCACAGTCTGGGGCTACTTACCAGGAGTCTCAAGCTCTAAAAACTCTGTGATCTTTCCTAGAAGCTCTTGCTTGGTGCCTTTAGTAGAAGCGTTCATCTTCCTACGCACGAAAAAGAACAAGAAAACAAAGGATGTGAAGGAAAAGAAGAAGAAAAAAATATTCGCTCACTTCATGAGGCTCCTGAGCTGAATCACCGTCATTTTCTCGAGCTTGTTCTCGGTCCGTAGCACAAGCAGCTCATTCCGGAGGATGGAAGCCATCGAAATCTCCTTCTCCTCTCTATCAATGCGCTAATATCTCGCCTAGAAAAACAAACGCTCGATCGATGCGCCAGGAAAAACGCTACTACTTACACGAATCTCCAGCCGGATCGATCGGCGCAAACCTACATTCGCTCGAAGAGACGAGAAAAACCCTCTTTCCTTAAACCCTAACCCCGCCATAACATGAAAGGGGCATATTCTCTCACCTTTTGGGCATTATCCATTTCCCTGGGAGGAGCTTCTCGGCGATGGCGTCGTCTCCTTGCATGCCCCATCCCTGTAAGTAGCGCCGCGCCAATCTCGATCGTAATCCACATCCATTCCAGGTCTCGTGGCTAGAGCGTCTTGCGATTCTTCTTCTTGCTCTTCCAGGTAGGGCATTCTCGGATTTCTCTCATTCCCATCGATTCCTCGATCTTTCTCCAGCTTCTCGGCGCCTCTCCGGCATCGCGCTGTGAAATGTAGCAGCGCCAGCGCCAGCCGGAGGGAATTTTCTCTCGGCTCATCCGCATTTTCTCTTCTTTCGCTCGCTGGATTTGCCAGAGCCGAGAGCATTCCCACGGAAGCTCCCAAGCAACTCTGTGACAACGCTTGCGAATCGGAGCTCGAAAATGTGTGGTAACATTTCTTCTTCTTTTTCTTTCTCTTGCTGTCTGTCACCTCTCTAGAATTGATTGATTGGATTTTTCTTGAAGGCTCCAATGGTGACTACTCCATCCGGACTACAGTACAAGGACATCGTCCTCGGAAATGGCCCATCACCACCGATTGGATTCCAGGTCTTCTTTCTTTCTCCTCCTTTCTTCTTTTTTCTTTTTTCTGATCTATTTGGTCTGTGGCCTCTGTGGTTTTGTTCTTCTTCTTTGTTTTCGGATTTCCTTCTGGTTTATTTCGTCTGTGTTGGATTTTTTCCTCGTGCGTGTACTGAGTTTCTTCCAGTCTTGTTTGTGTGCCAGGTCGCAGCAAACTACGTCGCCATGATTCCTTCCGGACAAGTCTTTGACAGGTACAAGCTTGTTTTCTCCAGCATGATTGATTGATTTGGTATTTCGCAGCTCGCTGGAAAAAGGAGCGCCTTACATTTTCCGTGTTGGAGCCGGATCAGTAAGCTCTCGAGTTCTTTCCCTTAGAACCTTCTTTGCGGATCTGATGAAAGCAACGCTTTTCGTAGGTGGTGAAGGGGCTGGATGAAGGAATTTCGACCATGAAAGTTGGTGGCAAACGTAGGCTCTACATTCCCGGCTCTGTAAGTCAATGGCCTCGACTTCTTTTTTGTCATGAGCTTTCACACGAAATGCTGACGAATGGAACACTTTTTTTTCTCACAGCTGGCATTCCCGCGGGGGCTGAATGCTGCTGCTGGTAGGCCGAGAGTTCTTCCGAACACACCGGTGGTTTTCGACGTGAGCTTAGAATACATCCCTGGCTTATCCGACACAGATTTTGAGTGAAAAAAGAGATTTCTTCATTCTCGGAAACAACCAAAGTTGATTATATGAAATCAAGGCAATCTGCGACGCTCAGGTTCAGGTACGGTAAGCCTTTTGCTTTTGTTTCCTTTTCCTGTCAAAAGAATCTAGATAAAATTTCACCTGCTGTATGCGTTCCTGTTTGGTTCTGACTTTTCTCTTCTCCATTGAGCCTAAACTTGCACAGTGACCTTCCGGCCGTTTCCACCATCGTGATGAATATCATCGTTGCCGTGCCTCGACGCCTCATACTTTTCACCGTCTCCCCACAGCGCATACGCCTCCTCTCCGTGCACAGCATCATCGCCAACTTGCAGCTCGTCGTCCGGCATCCGGAGTGGCACAAAGAGCCGGATGGCGAGCAGAATGATGGTGGTGGCCACGATATTCCAGCCGATGATAAACAGCGCTCCTGCGATCTGCCGTCCAAACTGGCCACCTCCGACACCTCCGTAGAAGCCACCCCGAGAACCAGTCACGGGCACGAAGTATGAAGTTAGAACCGGCTCGGCTAGCAACCCCGTGAGGCCTCCTCCGAGAACTCCGGCCACGGTGTGCGTGTGGAAGACGCCAAGAGTATCATCCACCTTTTGGAGCAGCGTGGATCGTCTGTGAACGACCATCATGGTGAACCAGGGGATGGAACCGGAGCAAATGCCCATCACGATAGCAGCCCAGGACTGGACAACACCTGAGGAAAAAGAAGAAGATCAGTGAGAGGTAGAGTTTTGGATTTGGGAGAGTTTCTATACTGACCAGCTCCTGGAGTGATGCAGACGAGGCCAGTGATCATTCCCTGGACAGCACCGATGACCGACGGCTTGTTGAAGAACGTAACGTCGAGGATCGTCCAGACGATGAGGCTGGTTGCGGCGCAGATGTTGGTGTTGAGCACGGCGATGGAGGCGTCGATGTTTGCAGCGTAGGGGTCGCCGCCATTGAATCCATTCCAGCCCAGCCATAGCATCCCAGCTCCGGTGAGTGTGAGGAGAATGTTGTTCGGTGGGAATCTCTCCCTGTCCTTGGTCAGCCTTGGCCCAACCTGTGGATCACAGCAGAAAAAGATATTTTTTAGAGCTTTCTTTCAGAGCAATTGTCACCACAATGGTGTGAAAGTGGAAATGGAAAGATGGCCACCAGTAAAGGAAGAGAGTGATCCAAATATCACGCAATTCACAAGGCTTCCATGAGTGGCAATAGATAATTGAATCAAGGTGAGCAGGCAAGCACGTTGGAAAATGAAATGATACATCCAGCTCATCAAATCTAAAAGAATATCAAGCACAACACACCAAAACCAAAGGAGAACCACAAGGAGATCATCAAATCAAATAAAAAAGGACTCTGTTTTCTTTGGAATGGGGGAGTTCTTACCCAATAGGCAGCAACAAAACCAGCAGTGCCAGCCGAAACATGGATGACATAGCCCCCAGAGTAGTCAATCACCCCCCAGTGGAACAAGAATCCTCCACCCCACAAGCTATAGGCCCCCACAGTGTAAGAGAAAGTGAGCCACAGTGGAACAAAGATCATCCAGGCCCTGAAATTCATCCTCCCCAGCAGAGACCCAGCAATGAGGATGACAGTGATTGCAGCAAACACAAACTGGAAGTAGACCATGGTGGCCATTGGGTAGAATGGAGTGATCTCTGCAGTCTCCACGGTCCCATTCTTGTAGTAGTGACCAGAGGAAGGGATGGATGCCTGCTGCATGAGGTACTTCTGGCCAAGGGCCACATCTGCCTTGCCCCAGAATGGGAGGAGCTTGTGACCAAATGCCATCCTGTAAGCCCAGCCCACCCAGCAGATGAGCACTGCAGCAAAGGCATAGAGTGCCATGAAGGCTGAATTCACTGCCCACTTCTTCTTGACAATGGAGCCATAGAGGATCACCAGGCCTGGAACGCTCTGCATCCCCACCAGTGTGGCTGCTGTCAGCTGCCAGGCATTGTCTCCCTTGTTGAGCCACTCTGGGACTGTGGCTGCCAGAGCATAGGCTGGAGTTGCTGGAACTGTTGCCATGATCTTGATGATCTTCCTCCTATATTCTTCCTAGATTCTTCTTCTCCTTGTGATCAGAGCTATGCCTCTGCAAGAATTGCCTATCAAGGATTGAGAGATTGAAGGGAGCTCAGAGACACTGCCAGAGATTCAATGAGGAGACTGATCATACAGTACCAAGAATCTGGATCAATTCCAGGACAAGAGGGGTGAAAACAAGAACCTGGAGGGAAGGAGACAATGGGAAGAATCCTTACCCGCGCCTGTGAGCTCCATAGCCAGGAGCTTCAAAAGTCCAAAGCAGGGGAGCTTCCAGCAAAACAAGGGATTCTTCTTATTATTCCTTATAATGCCCAGCTTTTTGGCCTAAAACGCCCCGGTCCGGGGTTCGATCCGGCCAATTAAAGGTGCATAAGCATGGTTAGTGGGCTAAGTCAACCAAAAGCGGGCGCCTCCATTTCTGACTGCGAAGTCAAGTCTTGCGAAAAGCTTTCACGCGAACGCGCAGGACGCTTTACCTCCAACATTGACAGCATAAAAATTTAAGAACCATATGTACCAAAACTGTCAAGAAATAGCAATTTCATTCAAAACCATGTGTGGAGACTGAAAACCATGCATAGAGGTTAGAAGAAATATGACTCACAAACACTTCCATAAAGTTTGGAGTTGACGAATTCATCGCGCAGGTAATGGCCAGCTGATAGAATCAAGATCACGTCCCATGCTCTAGGAAGTTCTTTCGTGTTGAATTTTTCTATTCGGTGACGCGACAAGATTCTTTGAGTGTATGTGCTGCACGTTGTCGAATTCATTAGTATGGAGCTTGAAATCCAAGACTTAACTTCCAGAATTCTCGCGCTCCGCGACGAGAGTTCCTCCACGGATCCAGCCAAGCTCTCTCGCGGCACGATTCCAATTTTTTTTTTGCTCTCCTCTTCTTAGCTTCTTAGAAAGAATCTCCACAGTTTTCCACCTCGCACTGTGGAAAGTACTTGGGCGGCTTGCTTCGGTATCCCAGCCGGCGCTTCCGACAAGTTAAATGCTCCAAGAGCTTGCGTTCGTCGTAGTGCTTGGTCCTGCAAAGAAAAAACCAAAACAAAGCAAGAACAAAGAGTGAGTTTTCGAGTCGACGAATCGGGAAAACGAGAGATCTTACTTATCTCGAGAATCCGGAAGTGGTGGCTTCCAAAGCAGCGCGCAGCGTGGCCGTCGAGGATTTCTCTCCAGAGCCAATGGAACGAGACGAAGCTTGTCAGCTTCGCTCTCCGTCTCACTTCCTTTACACGCCGAGGTTTCGTCACCGCCTGCTTCGCTCTCACCGTCGCCTTCGCCTTCGCCTTCACCTTCACCACCATCGTCAAAGCTTGTCACTGGATGAAAACTTTCACCAAAGAGTCCTTCACGGCCCGAGGACAAAAAAAAAAGCTACGCCTGTTTCTACCACCACCACCATCACTTGCGAAGATCTCGTGACTCTGGCCTGCTAGAACCTTTCTCTGTTTTACCATGAGTCGGGCTCGCGAGCTGAGATTCGAGATGAAGGAGCTTCAGCTGTGTCCAGCATTTCTGGAGCTCGTCCTCGATGTCTTTCCGGTACCTGAGAAGAACGAACTGCAAGGCCTCGTACTTCTTCTGCAAGCTCTCCGAGTCCGCCGACTGTGTCTCGCTGTGGAGAGCTTCCAGATCTTGCTTGTACTTCTTTAGCTCATCGCCGAGTGCTTCGTACTTGCTGCGCAGCTGAGACGGCGATGCCGTGACTGCCTTTCGCTGAAGGTCGCGGAGGTCGTCTTTGCATTTGTTGAGGCTGTTCTCGAGGTCGTCGTATTTCTTCTGGAGTGGCGCGTTCAAGGTGCGGGTCTTGGAATCACGACGGAGCTGGTTAAGTTCTTCCAACTGGAAAAAACCAAAAAAGAAAACTTTTAGAAGAGTATGAACAACAACGAACAAACAGTAATCAAAACAAAAGAATCAAAGAAACAAACCAAAGCTCAAACAAGAGAATAAAAAAAACGAACCATGGATCTCACGATGCACGAAGAGAAGCCTGAGAAGCTAGAAAAACAATCGATCTAAGTGAAAGAAAGACAAAGAAAAGTGTAAGAAATCCAGCAACAAAGAGAAAGAAAATCTACACACAAAATCGTGAAGGATCAAAATCTAGTGTACCTTTCTGGCAATTTCTGGATCGGCATTGGAGAGCCTGGCGGCAGTGATGGCGCTGCTCTTCCTTCGCGATCGCGGAGGCGGCCGACTGGTTGGGAGCTCCTCGGTGGGCGTGGTGCATCCACAAACCGCCATAAGCAACATCCCTCTCCTCTCCTCACTCGACGTAACCCTAGAAATGCCAATGCTGACTTGGCTGACACGCGTCAAAATATTGGCTGCCCACGTGAACAATATGTCACTGACAAGCCTTTAATATAGGTACACGTGGAATCCCACGTGATTTTGAACACTTCTATATTTATGCTCCATCATAAACCAAATTTAGAAACAAAAACAAACTTAGAAGTTAATCTAACTACAACCACCTTTTGGGTGCCCTGTGCATTCTCGACAGTAGTTTCCAGCCAAGTATCAACGGGGCAAGCGCTGTTCTTGGTTGACGAAGGCTCGCCTCTAAGCAGGATGACCTTTGTGCCGCTGTTGGTATTTTCAAGTGGCTTTGGATCAGACGAAGGCAATCTCAACAGAAGGCCGCCACCAGAAGAAGAGTTGGCGCTGCTGCTTCATCTACACATGCAGCCGCTGGATAGTCTTATCGATCACTGGGAAAAGCGAGCACAGATTCTACTGCAGTGCGCTGTAGCGTCGTGGAGCGCTTTGTTGAAGACTGCTACGTAGTCTCCAGGGGTTTCTTCCCATGGAGGAGCTTTTCTGCCACCAAGTCGCGGAGATCCACAGCAACAGCAGGCTGAGCCGGTGCTAAGTCGTGAGCCGCTCAATACCCCTGGCTAGAGTCTGAGCTGACAAACGCTGCCAGTACGAGTCCCAGTCACTGGCCTCCTCCCGACCCTACCTTACCTCGCCGGAAGCTTGGTATAAGGATCTGGACACTCCTCCCGCAGGCTGGAACAGCTTTGCGACTTTGCAGCCAATTTTCTACGCGCTGAACCGACAGCCTCCCTTTCCTTGCCTTAACGAACCGCGTTTGCTCTAGCTCTCTCACCATTGTCGGCAGAGGCAATCCTCGACTGCGTGAGAGCTCTCCGCTGGAAGTGTACCTCTCGGCTATGAAGAACCGGAGGCTAACCGTGCTGCAGCCAGCATTTTGGATGGAGCAGTGTGGAAGGTGATTTGTACCATCGCCCTTGGCCCGAAAATCCCACACGATATCTTACATGCAGCAATGGAAGCCAGAAATGTCACGAGGACAAGCTTGAGAGATCCCATTCTACTCGTTACTAGTTGATGATTCAGTGGAGCGAATGATGATTTAGTGGAGCAAACCACACAAACCCAACCCTTGTAAATATGCTCATATATATGCTTTAAATATGGAAGCCAAGTGTAAATGCCCACAATGACACATTTTCTTGCCACCAACTGCTGAAGTGTTTATAAACTAACAAAGTGGAATTACTATTGCTGGGACACAGTGGAATTACTATTGCTGGGACACTCTTTGTCGAGTGGCTTTCCACACAAACTTGGATTTTCTAAATAACTTGACTTTTCAAATGTGCTCATTTGCCCGTGGCCAAATGGAATCTTGCCCTGAAGCCTGTTGAATGAAAGATTTAGAGATGACAATGAATGAAGTTCTTGAAGCGCATTGGGGATGGGTCTAATAATGTTGTTAAAGAAGAAGTCTAGCTGCTTTAGCTGTACTATCTTGCCTAGAGTTTGGGGAATGTTTCCAGAAAAGTGATTATTGAAGAGATTGAGGATGTGGAGTTTATCCAACTCACCCAAACTTGGAGGAATCACTCCCATCAATTGGTTGGATGACAGATCAAGGATGGTATTTGATAGATCAAAATATGGAAATTGTCGTTCTTTTCCTTTGACCATAAGCATTAATGGTCTCCATTGTTGAGGACTAAGATTGGCATGTTTGAATGCATCTAATTGGCTTATAGAACCTGGAAGACATCCTTCAAACTTATTGCGGGAGAAGTCAAGGATGCGAAGGTGGGGCATGTTCCACAACCAATCAGGTATTGGTCCATGGAATCTGTTTCCATCAATGATTAGCACTGTGAGATCTTTGAAATGTGAAAGAAATGAAGGAATTTTGCCAGAAAACTTGTTATCACTAATGATAATGTGTTGTGTTTCTTGTGATAAACTTTCTGGTAGCTCACCTTCAAATTTGTTATGTGAGAGTGAAACATATAAAAGACTTGTCATGTTTTTGAAGACATCAGCTGCAAGATTTCCACTCAAAGAGTTATTATAAACCCGAAGAAAATGTAGACCAGTGCAATGCTTGAGCCAATTTGGCAAACCCCCAACTAATCTATTACTACTCACATCCAAGTGTTGCAAATTACATGAAGGTCCAATACTTATTCTTGGTATTTCCTCAGTGAGCATGTTCTCTGACAAATCTAGGTAGTCCATATCCCTTGAAATGGGTGGCATATGTCCGTTGAATTTGTTGCCTGATAGATCCAATTCTTGAATTGTAATTGTTGTCAAAAAATTTGGTAAAGTGCCATTTAAGCTGTTGATATGCAAGTCAAGAAGTTTCAGATTCGATAGCTGCCTTAAGTGCATTGGTATAGCACCAGTCAACAAATTGTTACTCAAATAAAGATAACTTAAATTTGATAAATGCCCCAAGCTGTACCTGTGAACCCGTTATTGCTAAGGTCAAGGCTTGTTAGTCCTCCCATTTGTCCTAAGCTGACTGGTATGCTTCCACAGAACATGTTATAACTCAGATCTAAACTTGAAAATGATGGATCTCCTGATAGAAAGTTGTTGGACAAATCCAAAATTCTAAATTGAACACCAAGTTGTGGTGGTAATGAGCCTGTCAAGGAGCAATGTCTTAGAGTAAGCTCCTCCAAATGAGTCAGGTTCCATACTTCTTTTGGGATTGCCCCAGTACCATTCAAATGAGTCAAAGATAAAACTTTGAGAAGAGGTAGAAGCGTGAGTGACAATGGTATAAAACTTTCAATAATGTTATTAGGCTCAATGTATATTTCCTCCAGCTTACTGCAGTTACCAAGTTCCTCAGGGATTGACCCAAAAATATAGTCGCTGCCCAATTGACCTGGGTATTCCTCCAATAGCAATGTCAGCCCAAATAAGTTCAAGCGATGAGAAATTGCCAATAAATTCTGGAATTTCACATGACAAATACAATTCTTTCAATTTCTTCATCATTCCAAACTCTTTTGGTAGAGGGCCAGTCAGCTCATTCCGAGAGAGGTCAAGCACTTCCAGATTTTTCAACTTGGATACTTCCGGACTGATTATTCGTTCCAGATTGAGATCCCACAAATCGAGCATTATAACTTAACCAGTAACATTACTGCAGGTCACTCCTTCCCAAGACACACAGAGATTGTGAGAATTTTCCATTGTCCAGCCGTATAGAGCAGTGTGATTTGATAAACCTCCTTTAAACGCAAGCAAAGCCTGGAGCTCATACATTTCCCTGTATACACATAAGCACCAAGAACAAAAGTCCTTCCCATGCCTGCAATGAACTAAATCTCTTCTTTTTTCTTTGCCACGAAGCTCTGCTCGAACTGCTTTCCTTTTTATGTCGAGCAAAGTTGGCGGGTCAAAAACGCATGGGCCGGAACAGTCGTGTGTGTCACGCTAGCCGTGAATGTCATGCTAGTCGTGTGTGTCACGCCTCCGTGCTCGTGAAGGCTTCGTTCATACGGAGTCTTCGTGGTCCAAATGATTTCGTATTAGTCGTGAGTCTATATTCCTCCATGCTCATGAAGGCTATCCAGATCCAAGATGTGATATACAGAAGGATTTCACACAATTGAGAAACATTGGCGAGCAACCTTGGCGGGTCAAAACCGCATGGGCTGGAAAGCTAGTCGTCTACCTATTGCATGTCTGCTACCTTTGTCGTGGAAGTTTGGCCAGAACTGCTGCACACTGCGTTCCACTTCATGTTCCCGGACGAAACAGCGTCGAGTTGCTGCTCCTCCATGTTGGCCGTGAAGCCGTAGTCCACATCCTCGCTGAAGTAGCGCGACAAGAACGCCGCCACCATCCGGCCTCGAAAGCATACGTCTACGGCCTCAGCGTCGCCAGCAGTGAGCGAGAACTGGTCCAGTTTGACGCCGTTGTAGCTCACAAGCCGTGCCGGAAAGCTCACTTGTCCCTTGCTGTCTATGGAGAAATCTCTGCGCAGGGAGCGGTCGATCTCCTTCTCCAAGCCAGCAGCTGACTGGATTCTTCCAGCGGATTTACTAAGCCCCTTCTTCATGATGCCTTCCAGCTTAATCATCTCGAGAATGTGCCAGGCGATGGCTTCTACTACTTCAGCCTTCTTCTGGCTTCTTGAGGACTTACGTCGAATCTTCACCATCTTTTACTTCCTTGGGAGGCTTCAGCTTCGTTGCTTTCGCGACAGCTTTCACCTTTCCAGCCTAGCTTCTCCTGGTGCTACCACACTCTCCATGCTTGCTTTCACTTCCCAAGCAATGCACTAGCGTCATCTTCTTTCATAGCATTCAATTCGTTCTTCACGGGCTTTTGTTCCACAGGCACCGTTTGCTGTTTGGATCTGGCATTTTTCTTATCTGATCCTTGGGGTCTCTTCTTGCGGCTTTGCTGTCCGTTTAGATTTTCTAGCAGGAGCCTTCTTCGTCACGTTGTCAGCCTTCAGCAGTCGAGGCTTTCAAAGCCACTCCTTTCTTCCCTTTCCTTCTCATTTCTTCTACTGCTAGCGGAAGAGCACGGATTTGTAGCCTGAAGGCTAGCAGAAGAGCACGGGTTTTAGGCCTGTGCAATCCAATCCCCGGCAATGGAAGGCAGGAATGCCGAGCATACCAGCCGTGAGAACAGAGAACTCTTGGCGCTGATGCGTTAGGAGGCAGGATTCGCCCGCGCGCGGTGGATAAACCCTAAGCCCTAGGGCTCGGAAATCTACACCGTTGGATTTTAACCACTTGGAATTCGGTGCGAGCTCTACACTGGCAGCAGTATAGCTTGTAGGAGCTTCGCGCGAGGTGAGCTAGGGTTTTGTGGATGTGGATCCGGGAGCGACGCCATGGCGCTAAAGGTGTGACGCAGATCTAAGGGGGTTTATAGGGAGCAGCGATGGAGTGGACGGCGAGGCAGTATCTGGAGGTCCAGGGAGCCGAGAGCGATGGAGCTCGGCCACAGTGTG